ATGTTATACATGTCTAACTGCAAAGGAAATGTAGCCATATTTATTGGTAATTTCATTTCCGGTTGTAGTAACCACATGCCGGCCAGCAGGTGGCACAGCACGTCTATCTAGAGTAGGATCTGACTCATCAGGCAGGTGGCTGTGCCCATGGCTAGAGTTGAAAGCCTTCCCCTGCCAGGGTCTGGCCGCAGATGGCGGCAGCAGGTGTAGACAGGCAGGTGGGAACAGAGGGGGTAGGTGCTTTCCCTGTGAATGAAAGCTGAAAACCCTCTGCTGTGCCCGCAGGGAACTCCTGCGTTCAGGCCCTAAGTGCACACATGTAGCTAGCTAAAGTGAGTGCCCGGGAGAATTCTCCCAGGCAGCAGGAGGGCCAGACAAAGCCAGGCCGGGTCTCCTGCGGGTGGGCAGCTCTCACGGGGCGGGAATCAGAAGTCCCAGTGGCGCGATTAGGCACGAGCCCTGCTTTCGCGGCTGAGCCGCGGCATGCACTGGCACCGGCGCCTGCGGGAAGTGGAGGAGTCCGGTCTGCAAGCGGGTGGGTTGGCGAGCAGGCGTATCTCACACCGACACCGCGGCGGGAGTCAGGCTGCACCGGGGCCCGGGGGGAGTAGAGGGCGGGGGAGGGGATGCCACACGTGGCGGAAGGAACTCACTGATTCTCCTGGGTGCCCGTTGGCTCTTCAGGGTCGTGAAATTCCATTGGGCGCCACGTGTAAGATTAATGTCTCTTTATTCAAGAAGACACCAAGGCAAAACACAGGCCAGAGCTAGGTTATAGAACCCAGCAAGCGCGGCCAGAACAAAAAGGGGCCAGGGTCCCCACGTGCAGCCCCTTAAGAAGCTCCCTTATGTCACCCCGGCTTTCCTTCACCACGCCCTTATGGGCGAGTCCCGGGTCCACCTGGTACCTGTCCCAGGACTATTGGGCGGGGCTAGGGTGTCTCCCTACAGAGCTGTTTATCTTTAATTGTTAAACAACATTGCTAAAATTAAAGCTGTGGCTGTTTTAGCTGCTGTCAGAGGTCAATGCATTAGCCTCTCTGCCACCCCCCTACCAGCTCTGCTTCATTCCTGTCTAAGGAAGATAAGACTTTCTGGACCAGGCTCTGTTGTTTTCTGGAATCCCCTCTAGACCTTCATTCCATCAGGGACAAAGTGTCCTTCCTCCCCTCTTATGTATTCCCATTCTGACAGTCCCAGGAAGCACCTGTCAATCATCCTACAATTTCTGGAGTCACTGCACAAATATATTCCTTTTTTCTATTCTTTGAAACAGTATTATTATCCCTTGTGTTAATATGTATCTGGTCTTGAGCTTAAATAAAACTTTACTGTTATATAAATTATATAATGAAATATAATTATATAATGAAATAATTCATTATTATTTTTCTTCTTCTTGTGTGCAATAATAAATGTATTTGATTTGTGTACTTTTTCTGAGACTAGCTTACAATTCAGGTAAAAAATGAAAGAAAGTACAGTTTCCAACAAAACATGCTGGTCCACATACTGTGAAGGATAGAGGGCTAGAGAGGTATTTCATTCACTTAAGTGCTTGCCTCACAAACTTGAAGACCTGAATATAAACTCTGGTATGTGTATAATGGCCAGCCATGGTGGTGTGTACTTGTTATACCAACACTGGGGAGATAGAATAAGAGATACTTCAATCTTGCTGGACACCCGATTTAGCCTAATTAGTGAGGCCCTATTACTCTATCTCAAAAAGCAAGCTTGTCATCTCCCACAACACCCAAGGTTCACTTTGACTTTCACATGTGTGTGAAAGTACATACAAGTACATACATTCGCTCACATATATGCATCTGATTATGCACACACATCCACCCACTCACATATATACATGCAAAACAGGATGTGAAAAGGAAAGTACCAAAGCTCTTTGGCTGAGCATC